CACGTAGATTAGAAAAAAAGTGCGTTACTTATTGAAGTATAGAAGGTCGTATTCAAATATTGCGAGAAATTCACCAAGTGCCTTAGTAGCTGAATTGGAGAGGCATCTTGTACGGAATGCCGGAGATCCGGGCGGAGATGTCTCTTTCTCAATAGATTTTTTAATTTTTACGGAAAGATAAATTTCAACTATAAGTGATGTAAATCAAGCAGTATGAAATCCTAGATGAATTGACTTCATATCAAATTACCATATATATTAATTTATACACGTTTAAAATAAATAAAAAATATATTTTGCGCAAAGCACATCTAGAACATTAGCTCAAATGATTGAATTAATTCTCACGAGGAAAAAAAGAAGTCGAAAGCAAAATTCGAAATTCAATTTATTTGTCGCGCGCGGGATACACTGTTTCTGTGTAATATAAATTGATAAATATAAATTGAGGACGGATTAGAGTTTGCGAGTGATTAAGAATTAATGTCGGAAATACATCATTAGAAGGAAAGAGAGATGGGAAATTCGTGTACAAGTTTCCCTCGTCGTCTTGACTGTTGGAGATGATAAATCGCGACGTTCTGTCTCCGCTTATCAACGGAAAGACGTCCTTAATCACGTCGTAACGCTTCGATCATCAGCTCGGGGAAAACTCGGACGTTTATTTCGCAATTTTCTAGCTCGGGTCTTACTCAGCAAACAGAATAACCGAACTTATATCATCCTCCTCCTAATGTGAACGGCATTATTGATTTTTTCTAGTTGTTAACTCTTTCATCTATGATTGACTTTTTACATGACATTATAGTAGGATTAGTTTGAATTTTTTTAGCAATATTATTTAGTCTTTCAGTTGGTACTCTTGAAAAAAAAATCGACAAATCTTCAAAGTGATGACCCAATCACTGGGTATTTTATCCTAGTCTATTCCTTTTCCTTGTACGATTTGAGCTTAAAGCTCGAAAGCTTTGAAAGCGTTTATTTAAATTCATTTCTATATCTCAAAAATAAACACGTGTATATTTTTATTGCCTTTTTATTGCGCTAGTCGAAATATACTCTTGAAAAAAAAAAAAAAAACGGATCGCTCGGTGAATCAACTTTTTTTTTGACACTCGCACATTTACTTACTATAAAATTATATTACCATTCCGTGTGTGAAGCGAAAAAATTAAAAACCAGTATTTTGCTCTCGAATATCTAAATAATATTCCGCTGTAAATTTTTGGCGCTTCTCTAGAAATTTATTAAATTTACATCAAAAAATGGACGAATATGCGACGTCGGGCGAGCTTTATCGAATGTAAAAGCGGCGGATGAAGTCCTTGCTCGTGAGATAATTTAATTAGAGGGAAGACAATTCTCAAGCAATGATTATAAAGAAAGAAACAAGAGCGAAAGTTCAGCAAAAAAATTACGAAGGTGAGTTTTCGATTGTCACTGAAATTCTATGTGCGATCTATCGTCGTTCCGCGTCCACCTTCGTGAATAATTCATGCAACGATAAAACTTTCAGCACCGGCTGGAGGCAAAAAAGCGGCATCGCAAAAATCAAAGAACTAACCACTGCTTTTTTTTTAATTACAGTCAAGGCCACAGTGACTTAAATATTTACAATTTGTGATGAAATGATCGAGTTGTAATTAATAGCAATTTTAACCGCGCATAGTTGTTTTCTTATTGACTCTCGCATTTTTTCTCTCTGCAATAAAAATATTATGTTCTTTTGAGAATTAAGGTAGAGATTTTATAAGTTATTTACTATCATGAAGTTTTTTTTATATCAATTAGTTATTCATCAGTCATTCCGCTCACTTTTCGCGCGCGTGAATAAAAGTCACGTGATGAAAAATGAATATTCGCGAAATGATTTCGCAAAGACAACGAGACCTAGAAATCGCGATTTCAATCTGAATTCCGCGACTTCTCTTTCTCTCTCTCTCTCTCTCTCTTTTTTTACGGATAAAGAATTTTAATAAAGGAAGGACGACGCGGATCACACGAGAGTGGACGCGAGTTATCCTCTCATTGCTGATGTATCTGACGTATATATGTATATGCACATATATAGATATATACACAATGTGAATTTATGCCCCTCGCTCCCATCCAGCGACCTAGAAAAAGGGACGCCGATATTCTCTCTGCATAAGCCAAATATCGATGCTGCGCAAGCAGCAAATAAATCAAACGAATTCGCCAAGTCGATGCGTTTCTCGTCATACTAATGTGAATTTACGTGTACAGAGAAGAGTCTCCGTTGCCATTTCCAGATAAGCTCTGCGAAAGCACATCCTATGTAACGTACTCACTCTGCAATATGTAATATACAAACTTCAGTATTCTTTCTCGTGAAAACTTATAATAGTAGAGAAGTGGCCAATTGAAAGCAATAACCAGTCTGTCGGCGGCCGTCGCGCTAGTTGTTTATTCGTGTCTCGTTAGCACCGAGACTTTCGAATCGCGTGTTGTTGACGACGTTGCGCGCCTGATGAACTGAGTTCTTCCTATACCTACGAGCCTTCCTTAAACTGAAGAAGAAAATCAAATTAGGGTCAAAACGTTTGTCAATTTTTTTTTAAATAAAGAAGTTTATTGACGCAAAGATCTGGTTATTGCCTCGGATTGGCCACTTCCCTACTATTATATGTAATATACAGTCTGTACGATAAAAACACATATTAGGCATAACTTAAAATTATTTATTGTAATTAAGTAAAAAAAAAAAACGTTTTCTTATTGTGTCACACGATATGTATTTATACCTTTTTGCCGCAATAACGCTTGCTCGCCACGCAATGACAGACGAGGATTGTAAACAATTGTAAGATTAGTTTGTTTTCGATTTTCGTCGTTTTCTACGCAGAGCCTCGTTTTTTACTTCTAAATAGCGTTTCACCCACTTATTTATAAACATCTTAGACTTAGACTTTCTCGTGTACTTAAGCAGAGCCGCTTTGCGCGACATTTTCGATCTTTTTAGATGTGTACAGTGAACACGGCCTCGAAACGCAATGCGTATGGCAACACTCGTGGCGAAATACGTCCTTCTGTCATTAAGGTCAAACGACAACTGAGGTTTTCTTCATAAAGCATCTTAGAGGAAAGGTTTCTCTACTTGCTACAGTTTTCAGATAAAAATTTCGCCGTACACGCTCTTATCAAACAGACTTTATATACGAATGTGTAATATAATATACGCATGCATATGTATAAGGTGCTCTAAATATATCTGACAAATCATTGTTTGGCAATAATATGTTAATACAATATGAATAATATAATTACTGTTTGGCATGTAATATATACATGTGCAGCTTTGTCCACGATGATTATTCAATATTAATCGAACGCGCTTATTACAGAAGCAATTAATCACCGATCGATCAAACCTAATCAGACAATGAAAGAGCGATAAAAAATTCTTCCCAGGGATATATAATAGGCGTGATACATAGTGCGTTTGAATCGCCGCATAATTCTCGCAAAGCCGTATTAATGTTTAATGAAGCTTTAAAAATGAATGGTAATCCTGGGTATAAAGTTAAGTCGCGCGAAATGTAACAATAAAATTGCACAAACGAATCGTAATTTCGCATACGTAGCGAAATTACGGAAGATGGCTGCGGCTCTTGGATATCCATTGCGCAGTCCTAGATCTTTGCCTGGAAATTGATATTTCCTTTTTTTTATTTTGACATTTTGTAAAATATTGAAGCGCGCCCCGTCTGGAAAATGGATAGTTTCAGATTCGATCTTTGGCCGGGATGATATTTTTCACAATGGTTTCTGTAAATTTTTTTTTTCTTATTTATAGGGAAGTCTCGAAGAAACTTATATACGTAAAACGTCAAATAAGAATTCAAATAATTATTTAAACTTGTTTTTTTTTACGCCGATAAAAAAATGCGGAATAAACATTACTTATTATTCCGCATCGATATCCGCGTTTACCTACTTTTTTTAGACTTTAGTTGAATTCTTAGTTTATAAAGCACACATTTTTCCGCAATTTTATACGTGAATACAATAAATTGGTTCTTTTTGTGCGTGTCCGTCGCTCGATCTAAAATGCGCTGCGCGCATTTGATCGACAATTTTTTTGCAATGATCCTTTCGAGTTGCTGCCACGGGCTAATTCCGTTATCTTTTCCTTGTTCCGACGTCTTATTAATCGCATTTTTCCGCAATAGTTTGTTCTTTGATCCGGCTCAACGTCGAGGTCGAGGAAAAGACGAAACTCTTGCGTTTGTAACTTTTCTCTATCTCGCGTTTCTTTGTCTTTCTTGGGACGCGAGGGATGGCTCCGGCCATCTGCCGGCTGGAAGTCGTTTGGCGAACGATTTATGAATTATTCACGGAACGAGAGAGCGACCAGGGATTATTCACGGGGTACGACTGCACGAACAGTTTGCGACACTTAATTATAAGCAGCAGAAAGCGGAGCAGATTCATAATTCAAGAGCATCTTCGATCCTTCGCGCGACTCGCTTACGCTTCGTGTAGCGCTGGTAAATAAAGGCGGCGATATCCTTCAACTTCTGTTTTAATTAAAAAGGAATTCCTGACACTCTCTCACAGAAGAGATGAATATGAAAAAAAGACTGAATTTAATATCATTAAATTCAAACGGTGGAAGGACAATATGATTGCTTTCTCTCTCCGTCTCGCTTTCTTTTAATCTCTCTAGACGTTGATTTTATATTTGACATTTTATATTTGATATTACATTTGGAATATTATTGTTGCCATTATAATGTTTTACAATGAATTTATTGATGTAAATTGTGAAAGATAAATTTTAAGAATTAATATTCAATCGCTTAATCTTTTACACAATCTAATTTTTAAGAGAGAATTTTTATATTTAAAATTTTCAGAACGCGTTAAAGCAATTAATAAATTAATCAAAATAAATCTAAAAATAAATTTCAATTCCATATTTTTTGTAACATGAATTTTCTATCAATTATAAATTTTATTGTGTCTGTGTGTTTCAGTCTCTTCTCCGACTTGAGGAGTCTGGCTGGTACAACCTTGATGAATCTTTTGGCAGCCCTGTTCATGGCCCAGTTGCTGTTTATCGTGGGAGCCGGAGGAGTGCAGGTAAGTTTTCACATTTTTCCACGTCCGTTATGAACGAGGGCGTAAAGTTGAAACACTCATCCCAAGCAAGCAATAAAATTCCAAGAAATTTGCTTCTTTTATTGAATTTTCGACGATTATAGTAAAAACAATTTGAAAAATTTTATGTCAAAAAAAGATTTTCTATTTAAAATTATTCGCAGAATTCCACGGAGAAATGTTTATATTTCTCTTCGTCATTCTTGTATAAGAAACGCGAGAACTGTTTCGAATCCGCTAAGTTGCGGAATTCCGGTGGCTGCTCTCGATTGTTTCACCGCCAGAGAGAAATTCCGCTTTTCGTCTTTACTCAGCAGCTTCGAAAGACTGCGAAGAGCTTCTGTCGGGACTTTTCCTGTCAGACACTCCACACTTAAATCCTTCTTAATTAAGCCATGGGATTTACAAGCTCGTGGCAAAAAAATCCAGAATTTTTTTCTTTTTCGATTTTTTTTTTTTTTTCAAATCTCTTACCGGAAACATTTGAAAAGCGATGTCGGTCGTCTCGATGTCTCCCGAAGATGTCCGACATTGTCGCTTGAATTCTCCAAGACGAACATTCGTTGTTGACAAAACCAGGAAAGACATTTTCGCGATTATATCGCGAACGATAGTAGCGGTAGTAGAAAAGTTGCTCGAAGAGACGAAAGAAAGTACCGTTTGAAAAGTCAAAGCGGAAATTAGCAGCACTCGCGTTTCTAAAGTTTTAATTGCGTGTCGGTGATGTTGGCGCTTTTTAAAGTGGCCACCACCTGCGCGACGCAAGATACGCGCTGAAAAATATTTCTCGTTTATTTTCACGAGTTTTTGGACATCATCTTTTGCGCAACATCGTTCGTTTGTTTTATTATTTTTCCGTTACGTATCGCGCAATAAAGTTTTTCTCAAAGACAGCCGTTATCCCTCTCTCCCCCGCGACTTTTAGCAACTACACTGCGGAAGAGGTGAAGTTTAATTATGTCGCAACGCGCGCGTAAAAAGAAGAAATGACAGAGCACCACGTGCGAGTTGCCGGATGAAAACAGGACATGGATTATTCACGGGAGGAGAAGAAAGTAAATTTTGTTGGAAAAATCTTCCGACGAAAATGAAAAGCGTGTTTATACTCTGTGTATATCAAAGAAAATCTTTCCGTAAATCCAGCAAAGAAACGAACTTGCGTTTGCGCGTCTTTAAATGCAAGATATGTCACAGTGATGCTTTTTTTTGTTATCGTCGTAATTAGAGACAGAAAAAGTCCACGGAATTAACGAGATTTTTTTTTGTTTACACAAACGTTATTCGTCAAGACAGCTGCAATTTTCAATCGTAAATTACCGCAGCAGAGATGTAAACACAAATATATATATGTACAAATTATGTAAAGCAAATATATACATATATAAATGTAATATTAAAAAATAAATATATATCAAAGTAAACGTTTTTATTACATGGCACAAAAAAATCTCAATTTATCTTCGCGTGCGTTCAATAATTTTCAATCTATTTATGACTGTCGATATTTTATCAATAACTAAAAAAAAAAGAAACGAGTGGTACGATCCATCAGAATCATAGAAAAGCGACAGCGGTCCTCGCGAAAGATATAACTTAACATTACATTATTCGTCCCTGACAAGATAAGATATTAATATCGACGTTTTCTGTCAACGGAGCACAGACGCGCGCGATAATCATAGAACGATGAGTTTATTAGAAACGTAGAAATCTCCTCGTCGTCATAACGCGTGACGGAGATAAATCTATGTCGGTCGCAATCTCGTAGCTGTCACAAAGTAATTTGACCTTATTGTTAGTCGACTCCGGTATTTTTCCCTGCGTAGCAGAGAGAGAAAAAGGAGAAAAATAAATTCAAACTGTGCGAAACCTTCTCGTTGTCGCGTGTGTATTTTCTTACTCCCGATGTCTGACAACGCTTCAACACACGGCGCTTACTTTCGTGGATATCGAAAAAGTTGAGCGCGAAAGAGCAGCCGAAAGCCACTGCTATTAAAAAAACATAATAATAATAATTTTTATTAAATGCAATATTGTTTACCATAAACGATGTAATTTTTATCTGTCCATTTATTTCTATAATATCATTGCAAAAATATATTATCAGATGATTTTATGCGCCACTCTGCAGCAACCTTTACACATCCATATTGCGTTTATGCACATTTTGTACGAGCATATGTTCCCACGGCGCTTCCGGTTCCGGCCACCAGTAGAGCAGCAGCAGTGCATTTCGCGCGCGCTCCTCGTAACCCAAATATATCGCAGTCCTGCATTAAATCAGACGCGTTTACGAGCTTATGTATAGCAGTCGGGAATGTTGGGATAGGCAAGATAAGGTCCGATGGAAATAAAACGTACAAAATGAACGATATATCAACGCGTTCAAATAATCACTCGGATATACGCCATTTGTTTTTCTTAAACGTGTCAAATGTATCCGAGTGATTATTTGGACGCGTTGATATCGTTCATTTTCGCTTACGTTTTATTTTCATTGGATCTTCGTGAAATATCACGAAGAATTTCCATAATTTTTCAGAGTAAAAAAATAGTTTTTGCCTCCTCCCTATCTTTTTGTTTAAAAATATTTTTTGACATTTTAATATTATATATTTAATATTATATATAAACATTACATGTAACAGGTATACACGTGATAATGATTCTGTGATTTTCGAGAGAAAAAGATTTCATATATAATGAGCCGTGGCTTCGTTTAAATTTTTTTCGTGAAATTTCAACGAAAAAAATCGGATATTTCACAGAAACGAGAAATGCGCACAATAATGAGATTGAAACTAGATTTTCGCGAAGTTTTTGACATTGTAAGACGCGATAACTTATATAATTGCAAAAAGTGCGGAAAATTCTCTCGGAATCTACAAGTCGACTCGAAAGTTTTGGTCGCGGAATTTTGTTTCAGGGAGAGACACGATTTATGAGCGTAGCGTAAATCACGACCAACGGTCCGGGATGCATCGCTGGTCCATAGTCCTGATTTGTTCTGCGGGTTCTACAGAGTAAAGTGATTCTCGTGACGGATCTTCCGATTTATGGGATAATTCCCCGGAGATTCGTCCCAAGATAATTAACATAAAAGAGAAACTGAGAGAGAGAGAGAGAGAGAGAGAGAGAGAGAGAGAGAGAGAGAGAGAGAGAGAGAGAGAGAGTTAGGGAGAAATTCGACCTGAAATTCGATCGTCATATGAAATATGCCGAAAACCTATGTGTGTGCGAGAACCTTGGCGCTGGTTCTGTGCACGACACATGGAAATAGAAGTGGAAATACAATCGCTGTACACTGACAGACTGGGAAATTCGCATTCTGTCGAGCAACTCTCTCGTGGATCGCATTTCCCAGGAGAGATCGTGCTATTACTCGTTCGAATTTGGCTCGAATACTTGGGGTAACTCACGCTATCGCATATCCCGGATCTTTCCGATTCGCTGTCGATTACGAGAGTATAACTTTGCGATGAAGGATATACTTCTAGGAGAAAAAAGACAATTTTATATATACTCCGCGAAAATACGTGAAAACGTTCGTTCTCGTTTTTTTTTTAGTTGGGACGCTTTTTCAGGTGGACGAAGATTGCTATTTATTTCAGAAATTACAATAAATGACTAATGAAACAAATTTGTTAGACGCGAACTAGAAACGCAGAGATTCGTCGTATATATTACTGTCCACAAATAACATTGTGATCGCATTATTCGATTAACTTTCCTCGAAGGACAAGTTTTTTTGTCTCTCGAGCTTTTACGTGGCAACTCGGGGATGAAGTTTCACAATCAGCCAAGATTGTTTTTCTCTCTCCCTCTCTCTCTCTCTCTCTCTTTCTCTCTCATGCGAAAAGTGAACGCGTGGGTTTTGTACCGCTGATCTTGTACAAAGTCGAGAGTCAGATTCACTGAGTGGGTATTAATTAAGCACGAAAATGGCACGACGGCGGCAGCTTACGATAATGGAGCGCGAAGATCAAGTTGCTTCTTCCGGCGCCAGAACAAAACAAAATTGTCGAACAGGAACGAGAATCCAATCAATGAAGCAAGTCCTTCCACGTTTGTCTTCTCTCGCTCTCGTCCTTCTCCGCGAATTAAAGCCGCGACCTGAATGTAACTTCCGTCCTAACGTTTTCCCTCGTGCGCTCCTTCCTCTCCTCCTCCTCGATCTCAGATAATGGTCCGCAAAGATTGTAGAGGTCTGAGGCATAATTTATGAGAACGTAAGTTTTCTCTAAACGACGAACACGTTCTCCGTATGATTCTTTTAACCCCATTAAATACCATTACCCCATTTTTCAGTACGGCGGATATATGTTTGGAGTTTACTGAAATCCTATAGTCACCGTCGAAGAGAAATACCGGGAGTGTTTTTTCGCGCAAAAAAAATCAAACGAATTGCGCTCGCGATCATAAAAAAACAACAAATATAAAAACAAACTTTATATAACTAGAGTACAAACACGCACTTTTGTCGAGCAAATTTTTAACGATTTCGTCAGAATTCAATTTTACTTAACGCGGAAAGTGATTTCTTTGACGTTTAATTTTTCACAATAAAAACAAACTCGTATTTTTAGCGGCGTCATTTGCAACTGTTTTATTATTGTTGTACACGTTTCCGATCCGGAGACAAAGCGTTGTTGCATTGTTGCATTATACGAGCATTTTCTCGCAGCGCGATGCAACGGTGTCGAGGAGAGACGTGAAACACGATGGTGGTGGTGCCTCGTTTTCCCCACACTCCGGTTTTATCGATTACGCCGGGCTTTGTTGCCAGGGATTTTTTAACAATAAGGGTCTTGTCGGCGCGTCTGCGATTCAACGATTAGCCGACCGTGACATACATGTCGCGGCGTGTGCGAAAAATCACGAGAGGATCGGACCTGATGCTGTGAAAACCACCACGTGGCGTGGTGGTTTTTCACGTGATGGGCGTTTTTTTAAGGGGCGAGCGCTTGTAGTTTTACTACACG